ACACTGTCACACACCTTTCTTAATTTGAAACCATTCAGTGTTCCCACTGTATGATCTTTATTAGTAAGTAATTTGTCTCTTCAGTTTCAGCAAGCAAGGTTGTATCATCTGCATATCATCAGTTGTTAATGAGTCTTCCTCCAATCCTGAAGCCACATTTTTCTTCATGTATTCCAGCTTCTCAGATTATGTGCTCAGCATACAGATTGTAAAAGTATGGTGAAAGAATACAACCCTAGCACACACACCTTTCCTAATTTAAAACCATTTGGTGTTCCTTTGTTCTGTTTGTGCTCTATTGATTAGGCAAAAGATTTCAACTGCCTGGATCATGACACACTATGGATAACATTTCAAAGAATGGGTCTTTCAGACCACTTAATTGTGCTCATGAGGAACCTGTACATACATCAAGAAACAGTCATTTGAACTGAACAAGGAGATACTGAATGACTTAAAATCAGGAAAGGTGTATGTTAGGGTTGTATCTTATCACTATACTTATTCAATCTGTATGCTGAGCAAGTAATTAGAGAAGCTGGATTATATGAAGAAGAACATAGGCATCAGGATTGGAGGAATGCTCACTAACAGTGCAGATGATACACCCTTGTTTGCTAGAAGCAAAGAGAACTTGAAATACTTAATGATGAAGTTCAGAGACCACAGTCTTCATTAGAGATTGCACCTCAATGTAAAGAAACAAAGATCCTCACAACTGGACCAGTGGATAACATCATGATAAAATGAAAAAAGACTGAAGTTGTCAAAGACTTCATTTTGCTTGGATTCACAAGCAATGCTCATGGAAGCAGCAGTCAGGAAATCAAATGACGTATTGCATTACGCAAATCTGCTGCAAAAGACCTCTTTAGAGTTTTAAAGAGCAAAGATACTAGTTTGAGGACTAAGGTACACCTGACTGAAGTCATGGTATTTTCCAATAGCATCATGTGCATGTGAAAGTTGGATAATGAATAAGGAAAACCATAGGAGAATTGATACATTGGAATTATGGTGTTGGAGAAGAATTTTTAAAGTACCATGGACTGCCAGAAGAACAACCAAATCTATCTTGGAAGAAGAACAGCCAGAATGCTCCTTGTAAGTCAGGATAGAGAGACTATGTCTCTCATACTTTGGACATTGTAATAATTAAGGTTTGGGGTCAACTTGATTGGGCCCAGATTCTCAGTGGTTTGGCAGTTAAGAGGTAGTAATCCCCCATGACGAGAACTAACATGATGCAACCTCCCCCATGACATGATTTGATGTGATATACTCTGATCTGATGTAATTTTCCTATCTTATAAATGCTCACTTCTATGAAGGAGCCCTGGTATCATAGTAGGTTAGGATTGGGCTAACTGCAAGGATAGCAGTTTGGAGGTAGAGGGTCAGAGAACAAGAGGAAGACCCTCAGCAAGATGGATTGGCCAAGTGGCAGCATCAATCAGCTCAAATGTGGCAACAATTGTGAGGCTGGCCCGATCAGGCAGTGTTTTCTTCTGTTGTGCATAAGGTTGCTGTGAGTCAGTATTAACTTGATGGCACCTAACAACAACAACAACAACAACAACAGAGGGAGAAAGATAAGATTTTCTGGTCCTGTAAAGATATGCAGCCTCAGAAACCCTATACTGGGTCACTGTGAGTCGGAACCAACTCCACAGCACACAACCATCAACAAGATTTTAATGAGGTCAGATGCAATCTATAGGATTAGGTTATATCTTGAGTCAATCTCTTTTATGATATAAAAGGAGAAAAGTGAGCTGAGCTTAGAGGGACCTACTATCACCAAGATAGAAGAGCTGGGAGTGGAGTTCATCCTTTTGGACCCAGAGTCCCTGCACTATGAAGCTTCTATAGCCAGGATAAGACTGATGCCAAGATTTATGGAGATCTCTTGGAGCTCACCAGTCGCTCCTTGGAAACCCTATACAGGATTGCTTTGGGTCAGAATCAACTCGCTGGCACTTAACAATAACAACAACAAGGAATACTGGGCCTATAGATGCTGAAAGGAGACAGGAACCTTTTCCCAGGACTAACAAAGAGAAAGCCTTCCCCTAGAGCTGTTACTCTGAATTTGGCATTCTAGCCTCCTAAACGTAGTGGTTATGAGTCCTGGTGTGGCATTGTGGGTTAATGAGTCAGACTGCAAAGTCATTTGAACTGCAAGGTCGGCAGTTCAAGCTCACCAGCTGCTCCTTGGAAACCCTATACAGGGTCATTATGGATCAGAATAGACTCAACAGCACTTCACAACAACAACAACAAACATAGTGGTTACCAATCGGGCTGCGAACCTTAAGGTCAGCAGTTCGAAACTACCAGCTGTTCTGTGGGAGAAAGATGAGGCTTTCTTCTCCTGTAAAGATTTACACCTTTGGAAACCCTGTACAGGGTCACTCTGAGTCGGAACCGACTCTACGGTACATAACCACCATAAACACCAAACTGTGAGAATAAATTTCTAGTTGTTAAAAACATCCACTTGTGGTGTTTCTCTTATAGCCATATTAGGTAACTAAGAAAGACACGTAATCGGGAGGGACCAGGCCCTGGAGAAGGACATCATGCTTGGTAAAGCGGAGGGTCAGCGGGGCAAAACAAGGAAGCTTCCCAATGAGATGGATTGATACAGTGGCAGTAGAATTGTGAGGATGGTGTAGGACAAGGCAAAGTTTCCTTCTATTGTGCAAAGGGTCACTATGAATCGGAACCAACTGATGGCACCTAACAACTACAACATTGTACAAAATATTGAATAATGCAGGAAGCATCAAAAGAAGATGGAAAGAATACACAGAGTCACTGTACCAAAAAGAATTGGTACACATTCAACCATTTCAAAAGGTAATGTATCATCCATCAAGTAAGAAGACATCCAAGCTGCACTGGTGAAAAACAAGGTTCCAGAATATCAACTGTTTTGAAATTGTTTTCAGTAAAATTTTACTTTCATGTAATATTACTTACATTTTGATATCCAACATATTCTGCTGGATCACATTTCTATGGCATGGGCACGAATATGGATCTCTTGCAAATGGCCAGGTAGTTATCTTCCAAATTTCTTGGTACAAAAGAGTGAACATCTCCAGAGCTTCATCTGTTTTCTGAAACCTTCCACTTGGTATTTCACGGATAGTTCCTGGTTTGTGAGGATGGCACAGGAGTGAGTAGGGTTTCGTTCTGTTACACATGGAATGCACTCTAGAGCTCCTAACAAAAGCAACCATCTTTAAGGAAGTGGACTGTCTTATCTTTCTTTTTTGTAGTGACTGGTGAATTCCAACCGCCCAATTAGTTCGTTAGCAGACGAGCGCCACCAGAGCTTCCTGTTTTATTGTTGTTGCTAAGTACAACCGAGTCGGCTCCTATACTCGTAGTGACCCTGTATAGGGTTTCCAAGGAGCGGCTGGTGAGCTAGAACCTCCGACCTTGTGGGCGAGTGCTTATCCTACGGCACCACACATCTTTTAAAAAAAATTAAGGAAAATATTCTAGAGGTCCGTTTAATAAAACACAAGAGTTAAATTAATTATTGTGGAACTGAACTAACTTGGCTGGGATGGGAACTGGCAGAGTCCACTCAACTGACATGTGCACTGAAGGCGCCATGAGGGACTGAATCGCGGTTGGCGGAGGCGGGTCCAAGCACACAGGACGCCCCACCCAACAGGCTCAGGAGTCCGCCCTGCCTCTCCCGGGCTCCTCCTCACCCCGCCGCACTTTAGTTCCAGGCCTCGCCACTAGGGGCGGCCGCAGCCTCCCGCGTGAAACTTCTGGGTCCGCGTTTCCAGCCGAGCCCCTTTCCGGTCGGGCCCCAGCATGGCTGCACCTAGCGTTGCGGGCCGGGGAGTTGCCGCCCCCTCGCTTTCCTGGTAGCCCCCTGGCTTCTGTGTTCCCCTGGTCTCCCCAGTGCCACGCCAGCAGACATGTTTACCAAGGCCTTTCGGGTCAAGTCCAACACGGCCATCAAGGGGTCGGACAGGTGAGGGCGGGCGAGTGGGGGCCTGCTCTTCATCCCACGGCATCTGGACATCGCAGGGGGCCTCGCTGCGTCAGCGCCCCCGCTCGACTCTGATGGCTGACTGGGTACCACGGCCGAGGGGAGGCACCCCAGTGAGGACGGGTGTTTTAGTCACGTTTTGACAGTGGCGGTTTTGTCTCCTGGACAATCTTTCCAATACTCTAGTGAGTTAAAAAGTAATTCAGCCAGGCATAAGTGACTGCAGACTACTTAAGGTGTTGTAGCCAATGCAGAAAAGGAATACGGGGCGCTGTCCGTCCGAAGAGCTTAGGGCTCCATGGAGACGTTGTATGGGGTACCGAGAATAAGTATTTGGGGAAACGTGTCCACTGATCACTTCTGCCAAGAGGCACAGATACAGGACGAGGTGCAGTGCTTAAGGCACGAGTGGTAAGGAGAACCCTATGTCCATGGAGTTCTGGTGTGGCGTTGTGGGCTAAGGCGCTGGACTGCAAAGTCATTTGAACCACAAAATAGATGGTTCATGCTCAACAGTTGCTCCTTGGAAACCCTATACAGGATCGCTATGGGTCGGAACCTTGACAGCACTTAACATGATATCCAGATGGTGTCGTAAATGCAAATATCAGTTGGCAACTTTAGAACCAGTGTTCTATCTATAGTTACCATCTTTGGGGCCCCTCGGATTTAATTAGAAGCTGACAGAAATGAGTGGATTCAAGGGCAAGACACGGAGTTAGGAAAGCAGGGCTGGGTTTTCCTATGCCAGGCTAACTTGGACCTCAGATTTCTTCCCTGTAAAACAGAAAAAGCTGCCCCAGGAATTTATGATTTATTTTGGAAGCATATGTGAGAACAGGGCATCAGAAATTAGGCAGTCTTTTCTTAAAACCCAAACCAAACCCAGTGCCATATGATTCTGACTCATAGCCTCCCACTATAGGGTTTCTGAGGCTGTAAATCTTTTCGGGAGCAAAAAGCCTCATTTTTCTCTCACAGAGCAACTAATGGGTTTGAACTGCCAATCTTGCTGTTAGCAGTCCAGTGTTTATCCTACAGCGCCACCAGGGCTCCAGTCTTTCCTTGGCCCTCATGATTTGATAACGAGTCCCTCAGAGTCACCAGTATGATGGGGCTTCAGAGTTCATGAAATAACTGAATTGAAAGATAATAGAATTTTTCCACAAACTTTTGGAAACCTCCTCATATTTGTAAAGTCAGTCTGGGCAGCATTTTTACCTGGTGTTGGTGTGCTTTCTGCAGGAGAAAACTTCGGGCTGATGTGACCGCTGCTTTCCCCAACATTGGAACCGACCAGGTCTCAGAGTTAGTACCTGGAAAGGAAGAGTTGAACATTGTGAAGCTGTATGCTCACAGAGGGGATGCAGTGACTGTGTACATGAGTGGTGGTAACCCCATCCTATTTGAACTGGAGAAAAATCTGTATCCGACAGGTATGGCAATAGGATAGACAGCCATTACTAGTCCTTGTCTGACATCTGCCTTTCTTTCCTTCTTGGATTACCAGCCTCCCATAAAATAAACAAGCACGAAACTTCCTAGTAACATCTGTAAGTGTTCCTGTGGGCCTGGTGTTTTTAAAATTGGGCCTTGCAAGACCAGAAGCTGCTATAAACCAATCCCACTGCCATCGAGTCAGTTTTGACTTATTGCAACCGTATTTAGGACCCTGGCGTGGCACTATGGGCTAATGTGTCAGACTACAAAGCCATTTGAACTGCAAGGTCGGTGGTTTAAGCTCACCAGCTGCTCCTTGGAAACCTTATACAGGGTTGCTATGGGCCAGAATCGACTCGACGGCACTCAACAACTCCATACAGGGTTTATGAGGCTGTAAATCTTTACGTGAGTAGAAAGCCTCATCTTTCTCTTGCAGAGCGATTGGTGGGTTTACACTGCCACCTTGTGGTTAGCAGTCCAGTGTTTATTCTGTAGCACCACCAGTGTTCCTTAGAAGCTGCTATCGTTAAATATTGTGGAGTTGGTTCTGACTCTAAACAACCTTGTATAGGGTTTCTAAGACTGTAAATTGTTTGAGGGAGCAGAAAGCCTCACCTTTGTCCTATGGAGCAGCTGGTAGACTCAAACTGCCAACCTTGTAATTCATAGTCCAGTGTTCTTCCTACAGAGTCACCGCTGCTATTTGTTAGTAAGTGTTGAGTCAGTTCCAACTCATACTGATCTTGTGTGGTGTTCCCGAGGTTTTCATTCTTCATGGGAACAGAAGGCCTTCTCTTTTTCCCATGGAGTGGTTGGTGGGATCGAACTGTGGATCTTGTGGTTTATAGTCCAGTTCCAATGCTTATTGTATGGAGACACTGCTCTGGTAATAGGGAGGAATAACAAGGCGAGAGAAGGACAGAGGGTGATTACAAAGGGATATCCTGAGCAGTGGCTGACGGAATTACTGAGGGATGACTAGGGATATAGCAGGTTTCTTGAGAAGGTAGTGTTTACAGAGCATGTGAAAAAGTGCTTTTTGAAACTTTGAGGGATCTCATTAGAAGGTCCTGGATAGAGTGGGGGAAAATATGGAACAAAACTCAAAATTACAAAAAAGACCAGGTTTACTGGATAGATAGAGACTGGAGGAATCTTGCGACTGTGGCCCTTGGTCACCCTTCAAATCAGGACCTGAACTCACTCTCATGGATCAATTTTTAGCCGATCAATAGGTAGGTATATAATGGGAACAACATTAATGAGGTATACATACCTAGAGTGGCCACCCATTGGAGATCAAAAGGGCACCATTTACCTAAGGACAAAATTCAGAAGGGATGGAAAAGGAGGAGAAACGGAAACAAGAACCACAGGAAGTGGGATGAGTGATGTTACAGTGAGGGAACTGCAGTCACTGAGATGAAAGGAAGTAGGACTGATTGAATGTAAAACTAACCTGATGATCTGCTCTGTAAACCTTCTCTCAATGCACAGTAAAAAGTTAACAAAACAAAGCAGAAATTAGCCCTAGCAGGAAAGAAGTTGGCTTAATCATGCTCCATAACCCATCAGGTTTAGTAGTGTCCTCAATCGGGATACTCCACAGGGATCTCTCTTAGTCTCTGATTGGCTTTCAGCTCTCTGCTTGCTTTCTTTGTCTCAGATCCCAGGGTCTCTCTTCCTTTCCATAGCTGCTGATGCCTACTTTGTCACTTGGGGCTTTTCTTCCTCCAAGCTTGGCAGCGGTACAATGCAGTCTTCTTGGGCTGCTCCCACCCCACCCCACTTCTGCTGTAGCTAAAGACAAACACAAACTCTTTTTGTTCTCAGAGTTTTACTACTAATCACTATGGACATGGTGCTGATGGTGGTGTGCCATGGAGTCAGTTCCATCTCATAGAGACCATGTGGAAGTAGAAGGAATAAAAATAATAATAAACATGGAAAAGTGTTTTTCCAGCCTGGGTACCTCTTCTTAGATGGCTTGCTTCTGAGGTAATAAACCGAAGCTTCCTTGGGTCTCTGTTCTACCTTTATTTGCTATGGCCTTTTTCTGGGCTAGTCCAGGTGGAACAATAAATGCTTCCAAGTCTCAAGTGACACCCAGTTTCTTTGGTCTCTGCCTTGCTCAAGAACAAAACCTCTTTGAGCATAATGTCACCGTCTCTGTTTAGCTTTGAGTTAAGTTGTTCTTTGGTAATCTGATTAAAGTGACCATAGTGTTTTGCTTTGCCAGTGCCCTGGGAGACTGAGTTTTTCATACTAAGTGTCTTCTGGGTCTGTTTCTGGGCAGTGTACACTCTGTGGTCGTTTCCTGATCTTCTACCAATCTTCACAACATGGCCTCCAGTACTCGAGAAGCTGGCAGGGGGAGCAGGTAAGAGGCTTTTCTTGTATTCTGTCCATTGGGCAGAAATATACTCAGGACGGACTGGCTGGTTTCAAAAACCAGTTGTTCAGTGAAGTATGGAGTGAAATGAGACCTTAGAAAGGAGTCACATGTGGTTTGTCCTGCTTTTGTTTTCTTTGCTGCAGATTTGATGCTTCCAGGATTAGTGGTGCCACCTGCTGGTCTGCCTCAAGTCCAGAAGGGCGACCTATGTGCCATCACTTTGGTGGGGAACAGGTACTGTGCCAGCCAGCCACATTTTGTGGGGAGACTTTATGTAAAAGGGAAATAACAACTTTCAAAGCATATCAACAAAGTACTAAAAGGAAAAATAGGTTCTTTCCTCTGGAAGAAGCAGTGAGAGGAAATAGCAGTAAACTTGTGGGGTTCCCCACACCTGGAAAGAATATATTTGCTGTTGCTACTGCTTCTTTATGTGTTTTAACTTTTTGTTTAGAAATTACTTTATACTCACAGAAGAGTTGCTGAGATAGTACAGAGTTCCCATATGCTGTTCACCTAGCTTACCCTCTATAGTAACATGATTCATAACCGTGGTCTAGTTAGCAAACCTAGGAAATTAACACTGCTACTGGACTGTTAAGGAGACCTGGTGGTACAGTGCTTCAAGCACTTGGCTGCTAACTGAAAGGTTGGTGGTTTGAACCCATTAGCTGCTGTGCATGAGAAATAAGTGACACTGCCTTCCATAAAAATTACAAGCTAGGAAACCCTAAGGGACAGTTCTGCTCTTCAACTCTGGCCTGTGGGGTCTCTATGAGTCAGAATTGACTCAATAGCAATGTGCAGTAGGAGCATTACTGTTAACTAGATTACAAACTTACTCCCATTTCTCCCCAGTTTTTACACTATAGGTAGTGCTTGGTTTATGAGGCATTCTATTCTGATAATGCCATCATAAGTTGCCTCTGACATAAATCAAATACTTCTCTTTTTTTTAGTTTTAATAATTAATTGCCTTTTACTATCACTAAACTTATAAATGCAACCTTTATTTGTCCTTGGGGATTGGAAACTTTAAAATAAGCTTACAGATATATTTTAATACATATATACATTTATTGTTGTTGTTAAGTGCCTTCAAGTTGGTTTTGACTCATAGTGACCCTGTGTAGGGTTTCCAAAGAGCTGCTGGTGGTTGTGAACTGACGACTTGCGGTTAGCAGTTCAGTACTTAACCTACAGCGTAACACACCTACTTTTCATTTATTGGCTATCTTGTTATCTGACATTTCATGTTTATGACAAGAGTAAAAGTCTACTATCCAGCTATTTTGTACATCTGGCAGTGGTGGTGGTTATGTGCCATGGAGTTGGTTCTGACTCATAGCGACCTTGCATAGGGTTTCCAAGTCTGTAAATCTTTATAGGAGCAGAAAGCCTCATCTTTCTCCTGCGGAATAGCTGGTAGTTTTGAACTGCTGACCTTGCGGTTCACAGCCCGATTCATAACCACTAAGTGAATACCAAATACAAGGCCAGAGAAACACTGACTAGGATGGTGAAGGTGATGTGTCAGCTTGGCTGGGCCATGATTCTTGGTGTCTTGGTTGTTGTTGTTAAGTACCGAGGAGTCGATTCCAACTCATAGTGACCCTGCACAGGGTTTCCAAGGCTGCAAATTTTTACGGGAGCAGAAAGCATCATCTTTCGCCTGTGAAACAGCTGGTAGTTTCAAACTGCCGACCTTGAGGTTAGCAGTCCAATTCGTAACCACTATGCTACCAGGCTTGGTGGCTTGGTAGCTATGCAATTATGAAATTTGGCAGTTGTTTACTGATATAATTTGGCAGTTATATAGTTGAATCAGCCTGCTAACCTCAAGGTCAGCAGTTTGAAACTACCAGATGTTTCATGGGAGAGAGATGAGGTTTTCTGCTCCAATAAAGATTTACAGCCTCAGAATGGACTCCACGGTATACCACCATCACTACTATGTTGTTGTTATGTGCTGTGGAGTTGGTTCCAACTCATAGTGACCCTGTACAGCGATTCCGAGGCTGTAAATCTTTACGGGAGCAGAAAGCCTCACCTTTCTCCCATGGAACAGCTGGTAGTTTCCAACTGCTGACCTTGAGGTTAGCAACTCAATTTGTAACCACTACACTACCCTCAGAGCTCCTTACCATCACTACTATTGTTTAACATAATGTTGACTTTTCACTGTTGATTGGTAAGTGAGGAGTGGTTGTATATACATAAAAAAAAACACATAGTAAAAATTTTAAAAAGATTATCATAAGTGTGGTACATCATAATTCAAATATGTCAAGGTCATGACAAACAAACAAAAATCTAGTAAGTGTCATAGTTCAAAGGAGACTAAGGAGACATGGCAACTTAATGCAAATGTGTCATGACCTTGAGACTTCCTTCTTTCATCACCATTCTTTATTTTTAATCACTCTATTGAGCTATATAACCTTTAGTAAAACTTACTCACATGGGGTATCAAAGAGATTGTCTGATGATTTCCACATTCCGTTGGGTCACCTCTCTTTGGAATGGGTACAAATACAAATCTCTTCCAATCACTTGGCCAGAGATTGGAGGAAGACTCATTAACAATCTGCGATATGCAGATGATACAACCTTGCATGCTGTAAGTGAAAAGGACTTAAAACATTTACTGATGAAGATCAAAGAGGACAGCCTTCAGTATGGATTACATCTCAATGTCAAGAAAACAAAAATCCTCACCGCTGGACCAATAAACAACATTCTTATCAACGGAGAAAAGACTAAAGTTGTCAAGGACTTCATTCTTGGATCAACTATCAACACACATGGAAGCAGCAGTCAAGAAATCAAACGATGTATTGCATTACGCAAATCTGCTGCACAAGACCTTTTTAAAGTGTTGAAGAGCAACTTTTTAAAGTGTTGAGCAAAGATGTCAGCTTGAGGACTAAGGTGCGCCTGACCCAAGCCATGGTATTTCCAGTAATCTCATATGCATGCGAAAGCTGGACAGTGACTAAGGAAGACCGTAGAATTGATGTTTTTGAGTTATGGTGTTGGAGGAGAATATTGCAAGTGCCATGGGCTGTGTTTCATTCTGATGTGCATAGGGTCGCTATGAGTCGGCGCTGACTCGATGGCACCTAGCAACAACAATTGAACTATAATTCATTTACCCAACAATCCACCACATAAAGTGACTTTTTAGTATATTCCTGGAGTTTTCCAACCATTACCAGGCTGTTGCATCTATTAAAAATATTAGGAGATAGAGGCAGGGCTTGATGGCGGATGGAGGGTGGAGGTGCTATGAGGTTCACTGTCAGCAAACCACAGAATACCAGGCAAAGCAGATTCAGGACAGAGCTCCAAAACTCAGAACCACATAGATAGGAGTATTTAAAAGGTTTGAAGGCTTGTAGCTAATGGAAAAGTAAGCAAAAGTAAGAAATCGAGTACTTTTGAATCTGCTGAGCTCAGCGGCCCGGAACTGACAACTTGGGAAAGACCAAATGGCAAGACCAAGGAGGGAGGAGCAACAACACCACGGAAAAACACCCCGGGAACCTCAGAGCCAAGGTGGACAATATACTTTGTCAGTTTTGCTGTGTTCT